CTGGGCAGCCGTGCTGAAGGCAGCGGCTGCCGGCACCGCCCCCGAGAAGCTGGAACAGCAGATTGCGGCGATGGGCGCCGAGGCGCGGGCTTTGGAGGAGAAGTTGGAAAGCAAGGTGGCACGGGCCGGGCGTTCCGACGCCCTGGAACAAGAACCCCCCCCTTCTTTTCGGCCTCCGGCCTGTGCGGGAGAGGGCGCTGGCACCGAGGATGGGACCATCAGCAAGCACGGCGAGAGGTGCGGCAGCCTGAGGAGGAGCGCCATCACCTGCTGCCTACCCCACCCGAAATGGAGAAGCTCAATGGAGGTCGAGCCCAAAGGGCCCCCGTGGAGGCAGTCGTTCAAAGGACGGCTACCTGGAGAGAGACGCGGCGGAGGAGGACGGCGGGAGCTCAAAGGGCGAACGCCAAGGTGAGGACGAGTTGGAGGTGGAGACCGACGGCGAGCCGACCATGATCGTGTGTGGTGGCGACGAGAAGCGGGGCGGCAAGCGGGGTGGCAAGCGAGGAGGCTGGAAGCGCAACAAAGCGCACAAGCGTGAAGCACGCGAAGCTGCCGCTCGTTGAGGGGGCGGATCTGGCGGAGGTGGTGATGATGATGGCGATGGGGACGAGAGCCCCGAAGAGGAGGAGGAGGAGAACCGCCGCCAGAAGAAGGCGAGGGAAGCTGAGGACGAGGCGTCACGAGCAAGCCCAGTGCGGGTTTTCGTCCCGCAGCAGGGCGACCAGTGGGCGCTGCTCAAGGGGGGCCCGTTCGAGGCTGGAGAGGTCAAGGCAAGGCTGAAGGTCTCGGAGGCACTGTCCGGGGGCTTCTTCGACGCGGACCAGCTGTACCTCTTCGAGCACACGGAGGACGAGGACACAGCAGGCGCACACGGGCCACCCCTCGACGACGAGGAGGCAGTGCGCCCCGGCGAGAAGTTGCTGCTGTGGGCCACGCTGAAGCCGCCGAAAGAATGGACCAGCTGGAGCCCCAGGTGGAACCGAGACCAGCAACCGGCACCTGGCGCCATCGCCCAGGCAGGCCAGCGGAGGGTCACGGCCAGGATTGCCGACCGGGCCTCCGCCGCAGCAGCAGCAGCGGGGCTGAGCGGGGCTGCGGCGAGCTCAGCAGCCAGCAGCAGCCGCCTGCCAGCACCAACATTCAGTGAGGTGGCTGCAGCAGCGGGTGGCGCGCGAGCAAGCTCCGTCCCCCCGTCCAGCGGGGGCACCTCGAGGAGCTCAGGTGCCCTGATACGGGTGGAGGAGCAGCTCGCCGAAGCCCAGGGGCAACACGCTCGCGCGGCGAGCGAAGGCGGCGACCAGGAGCGGAGCGCTGCACACGTAGTCGGGCAGCTGGAGATCAGGCGCAACGAGGTCCAGGCCCGCCGCGCTGCCCGGCTCGAGCGCGAGGCGCGCCGGCGGGAGCGCGAGGACCAGAGGGCCGCCAGTGCCCCCCCAGGGCCCCAGAGCCCGCAGGAGCCCCCGGAAGCCCCCCCTCCACCTGAGGCGGAGGAAGACCCGGGGGCCACCTCCGACGAGATGGGACGCAGGGCCGCCGAGGCACATCCGGGCGTAGCCTGCCGCGGGGGAGTCCACAAGTGCAACGCCGCTCGGCGCTTCGTCAATAATTTCAACGACGTACGGAGGGGTGGCAAGAGCTACGACCTCCAGCACGCGGACATCTTCTATCTGAACGGGATCGGGCAGATCAGCGACGTACTGATGCGAGAATACCCCGGGGCCGACCCGACGGACCCGTCCCTGGCGCCGGAGCCTCGCCAGCTCGGCGAGATCCTGGCGCGTTACGTGGAGGAGCACGAGACGTTGAAGGTCAAAATGAAGAGCCTCGGTATCCCGCGAGACGAGCAGGCCGGGGGAGGAGTCCTGGACCCCATCTACGTCGAGACCGAGAGGACCTACATCGAGGAGTACGAGGGCCAGGGCGTTCCCAGAGCCCGCAGCCGCAGCCGCAGGAGAGGTGGGGGGGCGGAACCCCACGGGGGAGCGAGGCCCTCCGGAGAAGCGCACGGTGGCTCGGAGTCGTCTGCATCTGAGACGATGGCCCCCGCCACCCGAGGCAGGCTGCGAGCGAGGTCGCCTCCGGACGAGAGCCGCGGGCGCAGCTCCGCCCCCGACCCGAGGGACCCCGGGCGCAGATGCGGAGGCCCCCAGATGCCGCCGGCGGATGCCAGCCAGGGCGTGCACCGCGGGAGCCGAGCGGAGGCATGCCAGAACGGGCGCCAAGCAGCGCCGCCGGCAGCGTCCCACCCTGGAGCCCTGGAGGCCAAGGAGTACTTGTGCTGGTGCCTGGAGCATGCAGAGTTCGCCCCGGAGCTGGTGAAGGAGGTGACGAGCCTGGGGAACCGCCTGCTCCTCGCCGCGGGGAGCGTGGAGGCCGCCGCGGCGCGGCTCCGCGAAGAACGGGAGCGCGTCCTCGGGAATCCTCTCGGGGGGGTGCTCGATCCCGAGTTCGGCGAGGCTCTGGAGGAGGACCACCGGCAGTACCTCCAGGAGATGGCGAGCAAGGGTGTTCCTGTGCGGAGGCAGCAGCCCAGGCGACGCACCATAGCCAAGCCCCACGCGTCAGCGAGGGACCACGCCCTGGAGATGTACGCCAAAGCCTGGAAGGATACGTCCTACGGTGCCGTGCTCTGGGCCACCCCGGAGGCCGAGGAGGCCTTGTCCGCCTCGGAGCTCATCGAGAGCCCGCCAGGGCGAGTGCCTAAGATGCTGCCCGACCGCACGGTGAGCAGCGAGGGGCGCCCCATACACGATATGCGGGTCGCCAATGGGGACTCGCCCAAGGAGCTGCACCCACCGGCGCTTCAGCCTAAGCACGAAGCCCTCGTGCGCCTGTCACTCTGGTGGTCCGCGCGCCACCCAGGTGTGCCGCAGGTGATAGCCAAGCGGGACGTTTCGCGGGCCTTCAAATGGCACTGGGTGCGCGACGAGGACGTGGCCGAGTTCGGCACCTCCCTCCCGGGCGACGCCGTGGGCCTGGCCACGCGCGTGATCATGATCCACTGCGTGATGGTCTTCGGGTGGTCGGGGTCGCCCGGCGAGTATATGGCATTCGCCTGGAGTGCCAAGTGGGACCACGAGCGGCGCCGCCCACCGAACCCCGAAGTCAACGACACAGTACGCTGGTCATCCAAGTGGCTGGTGGACGACGGCGTCTTGGTCGAGCCACTGGTCGGTCTCAGGCCCTGGCTCAGCGCAGCCGACTGCGACATGAGCATGGGGCGCGTCTGGGGCGACGACGCAATCAACGTCGACAAGATGGCGGAGGAGGGCACCTTCCAGGCAGAACAGCTGGTCTGGGGCCTCTACCTGGACGTGGACACCCTGGGCTTCCGATCCTCGTTCTTTTCGAGGATCCACAATCGTGATCGTGGATCCACGATCGTGATCGTGGATCTTGAAATCCCCGATCGTAGATCGTGGATCCACGATCGTGATCGAGGATCCACGATCGTGATCGCGGATCCTGATATCCCCGATCGTAGATCGTGGATCCACGATCGTGATCGGGGATCCACGATCGTGATCGAGGATCCACGATCGTGGTCGATGTCCCACGATCGTGAATCCTCGACAAAGAACGTGGATCGGACCCCCAGGGCATGTGCATATACATCGCACACGTGCACGTGGATCCACGCACGTACATGTATGGATGTACATATACAAACCTGATCTGGTGTATTAATGTACATCCATACGCGTACGTGCTTGGATTCACGCGCACGTGTGTGATGTATATGTACGTATATACATAGGCATGTGTGTGTGTGCGCGCAACTCCTCACAGAACACGCACATCACACATACACGGGCATACGTTGCAAGCGTTTGGCTAAACAACGCATGGGTGACGGAGCGTGCGTGCGTATTCAAGGTAAATGCAAGATCGTCCTTACAGGTGTCTGATCCCCCCACCCCAAAAAACCTCGGAGGCTCGGGGGGGGGGGGGGCGGGATCAATCAAATGTAATGGCGATCCTGTATTATGCGTGAATACGCACGCACGCTCCGTCACCGATGTGTTGTTCACCCCAAAACTTGCACGATATGTCCGTGTATGCGTGATGTGTGTGTCTGTGTGTGTTATGTGAGGAGTTGCGCGCGAGCGCGTTGCGCGCGCGCGTTGTGAATTTTATGTTCGGCGTGGAATATGCGTGGGGTCTACAGGTACGTTGTTTTGAGCGCTGTGTTTATGCTACGCGGGTAATGCGACTACTCACGATTACAACCGCAGAACTTGATAAACGAACGAGGAAAAGAAGCATATGATAATTGCAGTACACAAGTTTACGAAGCTCGATCGATACCGTAAAGGGTGTTATTCGGAAACCAACTGCAAAATCGGAAAATGAAGGCTTGGAAGCCTGAAGATTTGAAGGTTCAATTTTTTAGATATGAACGCTATCGCGACATGTTTTCGCAATCTAAAAACAAGCGTTTGATGACAATTGCGTCTAAAACAAAAACGCAAACAGAAGACAAACATAATAATGAACTGATAACGCAACAAACCACAAACCCAGCCTTTTGGGTTGTGCGCTGAGGGGGCCCACCTTGCCTTCCCCCTGGGCCCCGCCTTGGGTGCCTGCCTTGGGTGCCCAGTTGGACCTCTGGGCTCCCGCCCCGAAAGGCGATATCCCCTTGAGCCTCTTGTGGGTTCCCTGCGTCGTCGTCATCGTTATTGTCATCCGCCGTCGACGCTTAAAGCATCCACCGTCGTCACATTGGGGCCCCGCCTTGGCTTCCCCTTGGGTGCCTGCCTTGGGTGCCCAGTTGGACCTCTGGGCACCCGCCCCGAAAGGCGACCTCCCTTGGGGCCTCTCCTTGGGCCCCCTTTTCATCGTCGTCATCGTCGTTTTCTCAACATCGCCGCCGTCGCCGCCGTAGCCATTTGGGCACAGTGGCAATGATGTTGGCGATTCCACTATTCATTCATTTTTCTTTCCATATCCTACATATGGCTTCCAGGCATCCTGCTGCGTGGGCGCCAACTGAGGAAGCGAACCAGACAGCTGATGACATTCTGGTGGAATCCCTCGAACCTGACTTCGGAGATATATTGTTCCGCGGTGGGTTCAAGTACAGCAGCACAGACATGAAAATCGGCGTCGACGTGGACGCCCTGGTAACCTTCTCTGGAACGCTGAAACGCTTGATGCAGGTAGACCCGAGAGGAGGGTACTTCCTTCAGTCCGACGTGGAGCTCGCCATCAAGAGGTGCGCCATTAAGGAGGCCCACTCCACGATGTGGGATGGGTGGTGCAAACTCAACGAGTACACCCATGAGGAGGGGTACAATAATAGCGCATACGTGGTCAGGGTCATGCTGTCCCACGTTCGCAACAAGGCCGACGACTTCAACAAGCTGGGGGCGAGCGGGCAGGCGAAGGCTCGCGAGTCGTCTCACCCACAGGAGCTACGTGACATTTACAACGTCATCGACGTTGACAAGGGGGCGGCTTCAGTGAGAAAGACTCGCCCGCGCCCGCTGCCAGCTTTCAGGGCAGCGCAGGACGCCTCGAGCGAGGAGGAAGTCGTCCCTGTTTTGAAACGGTTCGACGTCAGCACTGGGGAGTCCTACTTGGTAATGTCAGACGGGTCCCGCGAGATGGCCAAGTTCAAGTGCGGAGAGCAGGGGCGACTGGTCGCCACGTGGCCTGAGTACAACATGGAGTTGCAACTTGAACTACCAAATTCTGCTCTGAAAGATGATGGGGCGATCGACTACACGCCAGCAGACCCGCGCAAGCCGCCCACGGCCGGCCACAAGACCAAAAAAGGAAAGCCCGCGAGTGCTCGGAAGAGGCCAGCTGGCGCAGTGGAAAACAGAGAACCGCCCACCGCTCCAAAGGCGAAGGCAAAGACAACTCCAAAGGCGAAGGCAAAGACAACTCCAACGCCGACGGCAGCTGCGACACCATCACGCATTCAAGAGAAGATCAGGCAGAACATCGACCGCATCTCCGAGGAGGCCAGGAGTGGATTGCAAGGGTTCGCTGGCAGAGACAGCAACGAACTTGCGACGTGCTACGCTGTCGCGGTTGATGGCGGCACCATCTTTCTTCGTGATCTCCACCGTTCTCCTTGCTTCTACGTGGACCGCGTGACCGAGATCCCCGAGAATTTCCCTGGGCTCGGTGACGACGCCGTCGTCGCCATGTTCGAAGGCAAGAAGTTGAACAAGAAAGGCGGGGTGCAGTTTGGTTTCGGCGACGACGCGGACTTGGCCTTCAAGGCGGCGAAACTTCTGAGGTCGATGTATCCGAACCCCGCAGCCTAGACCCCAGCGCGCACCTGGGTGCCACCCCGTGCAAAAAAAGAGCTGACAACATCATCATCACCAGCATTACCACCAGCAACCTACTACCTTCGGGGGGGGCTACGTTCGAAAATCCAAACCAGAACTTTTGGCAACAGTTCTGGTTTGGATTTTGCTTCGGGAAAATATGTACACCCCCTCCTTGCCTTCCCCCTGGGCCTCGCCTTGGGCGCCCGCCTTTGGTGCCCAGTTGGACCTCTGGGCTCCCGCCCCGAAAGGCGATCTCCCCTTGGGCCTCTTGTGGGTTCTCTGCGTCGTCGTCATCGTTATCGTCATCCGCCATCGTCGACGCTTCAAGCATCCACCATCGTCACACTGGGGCCCAGCCTTGGCTTCCCCTTGGCTGCTCGCCTTTGGTGCCCAGTTGGACCTCTGGGCTCCCGCCCCGAAAGGCGATCTCCCCTTGGGCCTCTTGTGGGTTCCCTGCGTCGTCGTCATCGTTATCATCATCTGCCATGGTCAACGATTAAAGCATCCACCATCGTCACATTGGGTTGGACCTCTGGGCCCCCGCCCCGAAATGCGACCTCCTGGGGGACCAAGGGGGGGCCCAGGGGAACCAAGGGGACCAAGGAGACCAAGGGGGACCGAGGAGTGGTACCAAAGGGGGCCAAGGGGTACCAAGGGGCACCCTTGGCCATCCTCGGGCACCCGTCGCCATCAATATTACGCGTAGCCGTCTTGGCTCAAACGATGTCTTGCGCGATCTGTTTGGAGATTGTATCGGAGCAGGGGTTCACGCTACCGTGCCCTCACGCGTTTCACGTTCACTGCATCGCTGAGTGCATTGAGGGCGATGGCTCCATCATATGCCCTGTCTGTCGGGCTGTGCATCTGAGCATTCGGGAGAACGTCGACGCGTCGGTGGCAGCAGCGACTGGCCCATCTCCGTGGGACGAGAGGCCAGCGATCGACAACGCGGCCGCAGACATCATGAACTACATGCCGCCCGTGCCAGCTCACGTCGTGATGCTGCATTGCCCGCGCGTCATCATGGCCAACGGTGAGTTCAGGAACACGTCAGACAGGAGGATGGAGTGGAGTCCTGTTCGGGTTCGCGGCTCCGAGTTTCGAGGGCAGTGGTTGCGCCTGCAGTGTGGCTTCACCGTTACCGACACGGACGTCAACAACATTGCAGTTGAGCGCTTGCCCATCTGCCCCATGCATGGCCATCGAGTATACGTGCTCGACCACTTGGAGAACACGTCCTTCTACAGCTGCGCTTCCGCCGCTCACGACGACCAAGCCGACCCTGCCGTGTTCGAGTGCCCATTCGACTATGCCACTCAGCACCCGTTCGTCTTGCAGCCAGCCCCCGCGCCGATAGAGGTGATACAGCCAGACCCCGAGCCGATAGAGGTGACCGATGAGGAAGAAGATGCCATGTCGCAGGACAGCCTCATTACGGTGCCAGACCCTGGAGAAGAAGATGAAGATGTCGCTCGGCTTCGTAGTATCATGGAAGGCTCCTGGGAGCCCGACAGCCCAGCCTCGAGCATTTTCGAGGATAGCGTAGCACGGCTAGTCGAGATATTTAGCAGCTCTTGAGTCTGGGGCAAAGCCCTGGGGATTGCATGCTAAGCTTGAGTCGCGCCGTCGCAGTTGAAAACAGACCCCGTCATCATCTTAGCGCTAACATGTTTCAAAAGCGATTGAAACATGTTGGGTTGTGACAAAAACTGAGCCCGTCATCGTCGAACTGCATCGTTTGAGCTCCAACGAGGGGGGAGATTGGTAAAGGTGTCGCTGATCCTTGAAACCACCAGAGATCTGGGACTAGCGAAACTGGGCTAACAAAAAACTAAACTGATCATCCAGGACAATACCCATCAGCAACAACCAAAGAGACCCACGGGGCAGGGAGGGCGGGGCTCCAAAATCCAAACCGGCACCGATCAGACCCACCAGGCTGGACAGATGCGCACCCGCGCGCCCACCGAGGATTCCCATATCTAACACATATCTGTCAGGGGGGAGTGTTAGATATAGATCCCTGTAACTGTCGCAACTTTTATATCCGGCAGCATATCTAACAGGGGGCAGGTGTTCGATATGGGGGCTGCTTAGGGGGCTGATGGGGCACAGATGGGGCCTCCAGGGATCGGTCACTTGGCCCTTGCGGCCGCGGTGACCTCTTGCGCTCCTCCCCCTTCCCTCTAGAGCAACTTTGGCCCAAGCTGACCACGGTTCCGAACCTCGGCCAAGTCACTTCTGCAACATATGCCGCCGAAGCGCCCCGCTGACCAGCTCCCGAAGCCGATGATGGAAGCCGCCGATGCGCTCAAGGCCCAGGGGCTGGAGGTGACTGGCGAGAACCTGGCCGTGCTCCCTCGCGCGCTTCGCGTGAAGGCTTTCAGCTCACTGAACACCGCCCTCAATACCAGGTTCCAGGATAAGGCGGTGCTGTTCAAGAACTTACAGGACGATAACGACAAGAGGGAGTACCTGGCCAGCTTCATGATCGACCCGAAGAGCGGCGGCACCATGACCAACAAATCCAGCCGCGAGGTGATCGAGAAGACGACCAAGAAGGTCCTCTGGGCCACGTTGGAGCAGTACGGGGGGCCGCTCTTCTTGAACAGCATGGAGCACGCGAGAATCGCCTTGGAGGGCGAGCCTAGTCGACCCCACGAGAACAAGAAGCTGGCGGATACTGGAGTGCAACAGTTCAGGGTGGAGGTCACAGAGGAGGTCTTCGAGAAGGTCCTCAAGGAGAGTGCGGAGCTCGCAAAACAAGTTGAGCTTTCCGCTGAGGAGTTCGAGCCCGTGGCGAACGTGCTGAAAGATAAGGACTTGTCTGGGCCCTCGTCGGCTGATGGCTCCACCAAGCCACCGATGAAGAGACAGCGTCAAAGCAGACGCGCCACGCCAGCCGCGACCGAACCCGACCCGCCCGCTGGGCCCGATCCAGCGACCAAGGCTTCGCAGGAGAGCTTGGCGAAGGAGCTGAGTGAGTTGAAGAAGTTCTACGACAAGTCGAAGAAGGAGCTGGGCGAGGCGAAGCTCATCGAGCAGAAGCTGGCCTCGAAGGCTTGGGGTGGCGCAGCGACCGACTACCTGAAGGAGGCCGTGGACAAGATGAGGACTGAAATGGGTCAGGCGTTCAACTTCTGGGCGGAGACGAAGGGTAAGACGCACGCCAACAACCAGGAGAGGGACGCAGACTCCGCGTCGGCCAAAGCCATGCTCACCGAGAAGAAGAGGGAGTACGACACGTTCAAGACTAACACGTTGAGCGAGTTCCTCAAGTTCAAGAAGTAAGCAGCGTCGGAGTTGCCAGCGACAGAGTGTGCACACTACACTACTCACCAAACAGGGAGCCTCGGCAAGCTTCGGGGCAGCTAGCTCGCCGTCCGCTGACAAAGAAAAGGTTGCATCACCCAACCGCGCCATTACTGCTACATCAGAGCTGACAACATCATCATCACCATCATTACCACCAGCAACCTACTACCTTCGGGGGGGCTACGTTCGAAAATCCAAACCAGAACTTTTGGCAACAGTTCTGGTTTGGATTTTGCTTCGGGAAAATATGTACACCCCCTCCTTGCCTTCCCCCTGGGCCTCGCCTTGGGCGCCCGCCTTTGGTGCCCAGTTGGACCTCTGGGCCCCCGCCCCGAAAGGCGATCTCCCCTTGGGCCTCTTGTGGGTTCCCTGCGTCATCGTCATCGTTATCGTCATCCGCCATCGTCGACGCTTCAAGCATCCACCATCGTCACACTGGGGCCCAGCCTTGGCTTCCCCTTGGCTGCTCGCCTTTGGTGCCCAGTTGGACCTCTGGGCTCCCGCCCCGAAAGGCGATCTCCCCTTGGGCCTCTTGTGGGTTCCCTACGTCGTCGTCATCGTTATCATCATCTGCCATGGTCAACGATTAAAGCATCCACCATCGTCACATTGGGTTGGACCTCTGGGCCCCCGCCCCGAAATGCGACCTCCTGGGGGGCCAAGGGGGGGCCCAGGGGAACCAAGGGGACCAAGGAGACCAAGGGGGGCCGAGGAGTGGTACCAAAGGGGGCCAAGGGGTACCAAGGGGCACCCAGGGGGGACCATGGGGACCAAGGGGGACCGACGGTGGGAGCGTCGTGATCGCCCTTATCATCCGAAGCCGTTGTGGCCCAATCCACTCCGACAGACTGGCAATGATGATGTGTCGTTTGCTATTCCTGCTTGTGTTTCTCGCAATGGGGATTCGGCAACAGCTTGGCCTGACGAGCAAGTCAACAAAAGTGATTGGCCGCTCGAAGTTTGCGAAGGCTGTGAAACCTACCGTCGGCACCGATCTGTCTGAGTGGTTGCGTTCAAAATACAAGCGAGGCCAATTGTCAGCTAAAGATGTGAGAGTGGCGGCTGCAAAAGAGAAGGATGGGGATGTTCACATGTCACGTTGTGGTTCGTCTGGTAAGCACGAGAGAAACATTTCCAGAGATTTAATTCGTTGCCTTTCGAAGAGATCTGAAAGGCCACCCGTTTACGTTGCCAAGTGTGTGTTTTGGGACCCTCTCAATACGGAGTCATTCGAAGATGACGTATTTTTCCAGTTGCCGCACGAAATAATGGAATACGAGATTGACAAACATGGCGTCGATCATTTTACGCACATCGAAGATGACCACCCCGTTGTTCGGATTCGTGAAGAGTGGTGTCAGCGAGTTGACTTACATCCAGATGCGGCCAGTTCTGTTGTTCCAATTTCTGTGTGGGGCGATTATGCTGGGTTCTTGGCGCGCGACAGCATCTATCTTATGCTGTGGGGCCCAATCGGCGGGGCTGACCGCGCCCGACACTGGTTCGCATCGTGGGGAAAGCGAGTGTGTTGCGGTTCTGGGTGCCACGGACGGCACACATTCGATTCCTTTGTTCGGGTTCTGGTGTGGGCGATGGAGGTCTCCCTGACAGGCAAATGGCCATCGACGAGGCATGACGGAGTCCGCTT